GAAGCAGCCTGGGCTGTTGCTCTCCGGAGATGCCCCCGAACAGCTGGGGAACGGCCAATGGCATCTGGGGGGGGTGGGTGTGGTTTTTTTTCTTTCCCCCCTCATTAAAGGACCTAAGAAAATAAAGATGTGGACAAACAAGCTTTTATTTAAGAGCACACGGCACTGGACAAATATTTGGACGTGCGGAGCTGAGGGGATGTGGGCAAATAAACACGAGCAGGGCTGCAGCATCAGCCTGCCCTGGTGCTGCCCGTGCCCCAGCCCAGAGACACGGGTGCTTCACATGCAGAGGAGAGACAAACATTTTCCACTAGTGGCAACGTGCTCTTTGGGATGTGACTGCCTAATTCAGGGCCTCTTTTTTTTTTTTTTTTTTTTTTATATATATGTTTACTGATCGTGTGCACCCACAGCAGGAGCAAACAGCTGCTCTGTTGGCAGCTGGAGGAGGCACAAACCCTTTAGCCACAAAATGATGGCTCATCCCAGACCCACCGACCTCCTTGTGGTCCCACCAACTGGTTAAAGCAAGTTGTTTGTGAGGGCCTCTTTGGGCTACAATCTAACCTTGTATCAGCTGTGCTGAAAGGTATACCCTGAACAGAAACAAGCCAAAATGCATAGGACTTAATTAGCTCTTGTCAATTGGAGGTGAGCTTGTTTAATTTCTTAGACCAAAGGGCTGAAATTCTGTTTCCTACTTTGAGAACCAACAAGGTGGAAAGCAGAAAAGTGCTAAGTGGAGTGTGAGTGAAACCATCACTGGATTGTACTGCATTGGAGCCCCAATAAGAGCCACTAGTGAGAGTTATTGCCTTGATCTTATTTGTTGGAAATCAAAGATTAGAAGTGGTGAACTGGTGCTGGAGCAGTGTTTGGTCCTTACACAGAGGGAACTCATCCCTCAGTCCAGCTGGAGGGCAGCAGTGCACACACCCAGGCACTGGACAAGAGGTGGGCTGCTGCTCAGCCATTTCATGTTTAGCCAGTCAATACTGCTCACTCTGAAAGCAGCTGTTGTGACCCAAGTCATGTGAACTTGGTCCTGAGCAAGTATTCTTTTCAAAGAGTTATCCTTGCTGCTAATGGTCCCCAGACTATCTGCTTGATTTTCACCCTGAGGTGGTGCTCACAGTTTCATCATTCTGCTCCAGTTTCCTCTCAGACATTAAAGCCAACAGCCCTCTGTTCTCCAGCCTCAGGATTCCCAGGGTCTTCCCAAATTTTTCACCCAGCAAAGTGAAGAGCTGAGCCATGTAGCTGTTCAGGCAGGATGGCAGCAGTTGAATCCTCAGGACATTAGAGATCTGGAGCAACTGGCAGGCAAAATTCCAGGTGAGAGAAGAAAGTGTGGTGCACAGCAGCTGGTGGAGAAAAGGAGGAACAGAATTTTCATGGCAATGACTTTTTCAGAAGTGGTTCCATTTGCAGCAGGATACACACGAGTTGAGACCTCAAGTGCTTGTTCCCTTCCCTCACCCACCCAACACAACTAGCAAGACTTTTAGTACCAGTATCATGAGACAAGAGACAAGTCTAAAATCCAGTTCTTTAAACTGCTGTGTTCAAGTCAATACTTGTGTATGTGAAGAGCTCTAGGAGAACCAAATGGTACTGTAGACAAGTCCAAGCTCATTCTTAACATTGCTTTGGTGGTGTTACTGTTGTCAAAAATACTTGGACTTGAGGTATTAATGATTCCCTGCCAAAGCTTAGCTCAGGGTGTGCAAGTCAATCAAGTGCAGCAATTTAAGATGACACCACCCCTCAGCTATTCTAGGCTGACAAAGGACACTGCTCCAGAAAAACTGGTGCAAGTGAACAAGTTCCTCAGCTGCTGCAGTCCAAAAATCCCAGCAATGTAAAGGAGTAGAGAGTGATTAGTGATAGGGAGGCACAAACCAGCTTTCCTTCTGAGCCCCTTCTGCAAAGGAACATGCAGCCACAGCACACGGAAAGAGGAGACACATGGGACACTAAGCTCTTCTACTGCTTCAAATACATCTCTGGGGATTTGTTTAAAGCCTAAGAGGATTTGGGCTGCCATGTTTGCAGAGAGACTTCTGGCTTCAGCTCTTACTGAGCAGGTGAAATATGTCTGAGTTTTAGTCACATACTCCACTGTAAGAAACTTGAACCAGCTTTTAAAAATACATAATATCAGTCATACATACCAGGAGAGTTTCCATATAGAGTTGAGTTAAACTGCTTATCTTAAAGGGATAGGTAACAATTTTAACTCTTTCAAATACAATTCTTGATGGCTTTTAAAATAAACCTGATCTAGAGGAAGGTGTCCCTACCCATGCAGGGGAATTGGAACTAGATGATAATTTAGGTCCTTTCCAACCCCAACCATTCTGTGGTTCTGTAGATCTATATAACTTTAAATATATATTCACAGCACACACATACAATAGTTATTCTGTATCATTTTGTGTTATCTTGTCTAGAGGAGGAGTATTTAGGGAAGACAGAAAAAATCTCTTGTTAGTTATTAACCAGTCAGAAACCAGTCTTGCATCTCTCTCTCACCCAAGGGGCCAGAAGTCAGGCAGAGGGAAAAAAATCAGAGCTGAGGAACAAAAGCTGTAGATATGCAAAGAGGGGATCTGGTCATGCTACTCACCATTGTGATGTTACAGAAATTGTTCTTCTCAGCATGAGGATATCTTATCTTCTGGCTCTGAGACCAGCTGTCTGAAGTTGCAGCAAGAAGGCTTTGCTTCTGGTTTTTTGGATTGGAACTCAGATGAGAAGGTTTGGGCCTCAGTTTCCTCAAAAAACTACTGGACTGAGTCTCCTCTTGTGTTTCTGTACCAGATGCTTCCCTCTGGTTTTCTTCCTCTGTTGGTTTATCCTCAAATTTGAAGTCAGAATCAGGCTCATCAGAAGATGGTTTCTTGTTTTTTTCTGCACTGGATACCTGTTCTAGAAATAGATTTACAAAACAACATCAAATATATAAAATACCTATACATGACTGTTTTCCCCTAGGCAAAGCCTTGCAAGTACTATCTAGAAACTAAGCATTGTTCTTCTAAGCCTTTTTCAGCAGATATAAATAATTTCCAAGCCCAACCAGGAAATTAGAGGCCTGTAGAAGTGTTTGATTTTAACCAATTATCTCTTAATTGGAAACTATATTAAAGGAGGAGCTGAAAGGCACATTGGTTTTTACTTGTGCCTGCTGTAAGTTAGCATAAAATAAGTGGATACTATTGTAATTAGTAAGTTATTTCAAAAAGCTTTATTTTATCTTTCTTAAGAGTGATGAGGAAATACTTTCATATTCTAATAATGTGAACACACTAATATATAAACATTTTAGTCTAACCTTATTGGCTAAAATGGAATTTAGAGCAGTTGAGGAAATAATTTGAGGCCTGATGCTACTCACAGCCAATAGAGAGAAATTTGGGAAGTAAATGGAGAAAAATCACATTTCAAGAATCAGAAGATTCCAGAGTTACTCTGGGCAAAAAGCTGATACTGAAGTGTAAGTACGTGACACAGCCACCCTTTATCTCTGCAGAACAGACACTTTGTTCTGCTTGCCATGGGCAGTAAGCTATGCCTGTGCTGCTCAGGGCAGCTTCATTGTCACAATCTCTTATAACCTGCAGTTTTTAATTCCTGAGCTCTGCTACCCACAGGAGTGCACCTGAGTGTGTGGAGGGAAGATATTTTATTCCTGAAGCAAGCAGAGGTTGTTCTGAGCATCAGCTGTGTGCTAAGCCTGCGAAGGGGAGCTGAGAGTAAAAAAATCCAGCATGTACACAGAAGACAGGAGAGGGGAGGACAAGGCTCTGCTGTGGTGAGCACCTCCTGTTCCTCTGCTCTGTGGGTACTGTTTCATTGTTGCTATTCCTGTGGGATTTATTGTGTAAGACTGGTTGCCACATTATTAAGTCAGAACAGAGGGCAACAAATAGAAGGAAAAGCTTGCTGAAGTGAAATGTTCTTATTTTCCTTCCTACAGCTGTTCTGCAAAGGCAGAATCACTGCTTTTGAATTTGGGATTGATTTTTCAGCTGGGATGGCATCAGAGCAAACTAGCAAGGCTTAATCCTCATGAGTACATCTACACACCTGTTATTAGCCTAAAGCAAAGCCTGTTACCAGTTACTGACATGTAAGAAATAAGAATCAGTGATTGGGGAAAGGAGCAAAATACACAAATCAATGAAAATGCATGTCCTGCTCCCTTCAAAAATTCTCTATTAATCTCAGCACTGGTAAAAGGATCCCTTAACAGCTCCCCTTGTGACATCCCCACACACCCAAAAAAAGAAGTGTAAGAGTGCTATAATGCCAGAGTTTAAAAGTGTACAAAATTAGAAGCTTAGGTTTACTTAGTGGGGAATTCTGTGATAGAAGTCTGCAAAAATGACCTGTCCTTTGCCTTTCTTAAATCATCTCCACGCGAAAGGAAGAACAGAGGTTGCAGCTCATCTTCTTGGAAGCAATATCAACAGAAAAGCTTTACAATTTGAGTACTAAAAAGCCCTTCTGTGACAAAAACAGCTAGCAGAGTGCTTTAAAGTTGAAGATAGCAGATAAAGCCTTTATGCAGGAGCATGACCAACTGCAGAACTTACCTTCTTTAAGTAGAAGCTGTAGCCAGATAATGATCATGATCAGCAGCATTACAAAGGGTAAACAGAACCAGAAGAAAAGGATAGGAAAGGTCAACTCGTTCACCAAAGAAACCAGAGGATACCTCATGGCTTGCTCCTGGTTCCACTAAGTTTAGAAGAGCCTCCCTGCTCTGCTTTACCAAGTTTTTTATAAACCTCATTGCATCATAGTGTTAATCAGCAGATGGTCAGCAAAGGAACAGCCCTGTGGCTTTCAGGGAGGGAGCAAGAAGGATTAAAGCCAGGATAAGAACTGAGAAAGCATCTGATTTGATTTTCCTTCTGTTGCCATTTCAAGGATAAATACAAGTTAGGAGGTTGTCAAGGGGGCTGTGAAAACAATAGTTACAGGTATATTTACCCAATGTACAAAGCAGGGCAGGGAGCTTTCCCTTATCACACAGGGGGGTTGCAAACAAATTTGCAGAGTTCGCTTAGATCTTGGAATTAAAGGGCTCACTTGGAGGGGCTGTTACTGCACAGAACCAACCACGCACACACAACCAACCATGCACAGAACTAACCACGCACAGAACCGGCCACGCACACACAGAACCAACCACACACACACAACCAACCACACACACACAACCAACCACACACAGAACCAACCACACACACACAACCAACCACGCACACACAACCAACCACACACAGAACCAACCACGCACACACAACCAACCACACACAGAACCAACCACGCACACACAACCAACCACACACAGAACCAACCACGCACACACAACCAACCATGCACAGAACTAACCACGCACAGAACCGGCCACGCACACACAGAACCAACCACACACACACAACCAACCACACACAGAACCAACCACACACTCACAACCAACCACGCACACACAACCAACCACACACAGAACCAACCACAAACCGACCCACACACACAGACCCAACCACACACACAGAACCAACCACACACACACAACCAACCACACGCACACACAACCAACCACGCACAGAACCAACCACACACACTGCCCTTCACAGCTGCTCCTTCACAAGCTTCACCGGGAGCTCCACAAACAACTGGGCTCCCAGTGACAGGGGCTTTGCTTTGTCAGTGCAAAACCAGAGAGGGAAAAGCAACCAAGTCCCCCAAGTGTCACACCCTGGCCCTGCTGCGGCCCTGAGCTCTTATTAAGAAATAACATCGAAGGGCACATCCTGGGAACCTTCCTGGGAACTTTCCTGGGAGGAAAGTGAGATGGAAAGGCTGTTAAAACACGACTTTATTTTCCTAATGGATTCACTGAGGGGAGAGATGCTCCACAGGGGTGAAGTCTGAGCCCTGTGCTTCTCCTAACACCCTCATAGTTTGGTGGTAATTAGATTAAATGAGATAGATGCTGGAATGGATTGTTCCTAACGGATTCACTGCGGTGAGGGGAAGAGACGAGGTGAAGTCTGAGCCTTATTCTTCTCCTAACACCCTCATAGTTTGGTGCTAATTAGGTTAAATCAGATAGAGGCCGGAACGTGTTTGTCGCTGCCCCCGGAACGTGTTTGTCGCGGCCCCGCGTCCCCGCCCGGAGCCCCCGCCCGGCAGCACAACAAGATGGCAGCG